ATCAGTTTGCAGACCTCTTGAAAAGAAAGGGGTTTAATATTTCTGAAGAATAAATCCTTTCAGTTTACTCTAATCCACATTACTGGAATACTGAAAAACCAACAGATTCATAGTTGAATCAAAAAAAGAGCTCTACATCATGATTCTATAAAATTGTTTTAGTTTGTCCAGCTTAATATTTGAATCCTAGATTATTTGAGCTCTTATTCTGGGACTGGTCCAGCTAATGTCTTAATATTTTTAATTTCATTTAATTTTCACAGTCTCTCTGGATAAGTAAGTATTTTCAGCTCCATTTTGCAGATGAGAAAAATAATTGAAATAAAACATTTTTTTGTTTTTATGTTTTCAGTCTTTTCTTCTCTCCTGTGTCTGTGAAACCAGAATTTCAAATCTTTATAAATATTTCTTGCTTTATATCAAAACGAAATAAAATAAAAGCTGGATTTTACTGGGACAAAACAATATATGTTGAATTTCAAAGGCGATACTAGACCATATGCAAAATTTCATGTGGTAGTTAACTGAAAATGTATTACTTGATTGTATTACTTAATATGTGAGTCCTTCACATATTGAGAATATAAATTTATTTAGGGTAGAAATAAAGGAGATGTTTTTTGAGACAGATGTTTGAGGAGAACTGTTGGAGTGCTATGAGTCTACTTTCTACCCCCAGCCATGGGAATGAGGGGTGCAACTTCTTAACCCTAGCTCTTCTAAGAGGGACTTCAAGGGGCCTACTGTAGAATATGTCATAGGGATGTGATGCAGTAGCAGGCTGTGAGATGTATTGCTGGAGGCAACAGTGGGGGGTTGGGAACAAGCAGCCAAATGAGAGGTACTGTCTGCATCAAGGGAGTTGTAGCTGGAGAATTTACCTAGGGGCCAAGTCAGCTTTTATGCCTTTGTGCTATAATAACAAGGCACTTGGATATGGAGGACACATGAAGCTATCATTAAAAGCTGGTGTGATGCCAATACAAATTTTAAAAATGCATAAAAAGACCTCTGAAAAGATCTTCTCATCTAATGATAAAAAAGATGTTTTATCATTAGATATGAGTATGAGATTTACTAAAAATTATTGTTTGATAAAATAAAGCCTCTGTAGAAAAAGTTATAAACATAGTGATATTACTTGATCTAAAGAGGAGGTAGAAATTACTGAATAGCAACTCTCAGTCATGAAGCATTTTAACATAGAGGAGGTTACCAGCCACTAGTCTGCATCTTTTTAACCCAGATTATTGAGGATAATTTAAATTGTTGCAAGAAATTTAGACACAGTAACAGAAAATTTTTCTGAGGGTGAAAGATTAAACAATGGTATATTTCTTCAAATGGCACCAGTGGCAGATCCTTGGCACCATCTTTCAAGGTTTGTTGGAAAGTTGTCCCTCTTGATTGCCAAGGAATGGACCAGTTGACCCTTTAAGTTTCCTTCTACTCATATGAGCCAGTGAATGCCATCAAATAATGAAGAGTTTTCTCTTGTGCAAAAGTAGGCATAATACATTTTGCACTCTTGTGCAAAAGTAAACATAATCATTTGCATAATTATGCAAAAGTAAGCATAATAAATTTTTCTGAAAGCTGTTAAACCTTTTTTTATTATATGCTGTGCTTGCACTAGGGGAGACTAAGGTTCACACATGGATAGCATAAACCTATATAATTATACTACATGTCTGCAAATAATTAATTTTCTTTGTGCATGTAATTTGTGTGTCATTGCCCAAACATCCTTTTTCAAAAATGTAACTCAAAATGTGTTGAATGGGGCATCAAGCTTTTTAGGCTTCATGGTGACATATTTCAAGAATAAGTTATAACAGACATGAAAGTCGACAGTTGGCCTGTCTTCTGTGGGGCCCAAGAGTAGTTACTGGATGAGTGAGGAGTAATTGTAAAGACTGAAGGAACTATTGAGTTCCAGACAGAAAATTGCCATATCATGAGCCCATAGCACGCAGGAAATTGGCAGCCAGCCTACAGAGCCTGCACTGGGCGGGTGAACCTTACTACTGCTCCATTTTTTAATTTAATTTAATTTTTTTTGAGATGGAGTCTCACTTTGTTGCCCAGGCTGGAGTGCAGTGGCGTGGTCTCAGCTCACTGCAACCTCTGCCTCCTAGGTTCAAGTGATTCTCCTGCCTCAGCCTCCTGAGTAGCTGGGATTACAGATGCATGCCACCATGCTTGGCTAATTTTTGTATTTTTAGTAGAGATGAGGTTTCACCATGTTGGCCAGGCTGGTCTTGAACTTCTGACCTCGTGATCCACCTGCCTCAGCCTCCTAAAGTGCTGGGATTACAGGTGCGAGCCATTACACCTGGCCTTACTACTGCCCCTTTCTTCCCATAAACTGGAGATGTGTACCTCCTACTGTGTTTTCTCTTTCCTTTCCTTGTCACTGATGACTATAACTCGGTATGGAGACTGACCGTCTTTTCACATCCATACACTCTGATTGGACTCCCTAACCTTTCTCTCTTGATCTAATATAGTTTTTGCCCCATAGCAGTGACTTAGTTCAAATCTGTCTACAGCAGCATGTTATCTGCTCCTAACATTCTTGGACTGGGGCCAAAATGATGTAACACTGCACGTAAAGTCCAGGACTGCTTCTTGCAGCAGTAGAGCAGCTTGCTGTTGACTATGGAATGTCATAAGACTGGGTGAACTCAGTGGTTCGTAGCTCAGGGCAGTATTACCATAGGGTGGGGTTGTGTATTTGTGTGGAGGCCATTACTATTTTGTAAGTAGTGTCCAGGGATGTAAATGTCTTGCAATGATTGGGATAGTCCAGCACTACAAATAATTGTTTAACTTCATATGCCAACAGTGCTTCTGTTGAGAAGCATGTTAGATTTAGAATTGTCCCATGTTGGCCTGAACAGCCAGGTAGCAACCTAAAGTCACTATGACTCTTTGCCAAGGAGAGTTCATGTGGAAGAAATGCTTGTTTTATATTATTTGCCCAAAGCATCATGCATTACTTATAAATGGTAACAATTTATTTCATCCACGAAATTGGGATCCTACCAAGGAATACAGGTCTTTGAACATTTCTACCATTCTAGTTAAATAAAATATACATACACACACACACACACAAACACACACACAGATGCACACGCACAAAAAGTAGCTATCATTTAGTGAAAAAAATCACTTGATTTGTAGATTCAGAAATTCTTCATTTTGAACACCTCTTCAGCACTTGGTAGGATGCAACCTTGGCCAAGATATTAGTTCCATTTCTATATCTGTGGAGGAAATATAATATAGTACAACGTGAATTACTGAGAAACTGTTTAATGTTGTCCTGCTACAATGGCTTGGTGATTGAAAAATGGTCACTAATAATCATAAATGATAATAACATTAGGAGTAGTGTAATTATTCAGAGTAAGAAAAACCTGAGCTGTAGTATCTTGAATCCAATTGATACTCCATTCAATGTGACACAAAACATTCTCATGTAAAGTAAATATTACTTAGTGTTGATGGGATGGTGAAAAAGATAATACTCTATGGTAATAAATGTACAAAACTTCTGTGGAGGAGGAAATGTGGTAAAGAGGAAATTATCTTGTTTTCTGGTACTACTTTTTCTCCTAATTAATTATATGGCACCTTTCCAACACAGGTTTTGTTGTCTTTAACTTTAAAAGCTGAAGACCTCTTTAAGAGCTAAGGATTCAATTACTCAGTAATATAATATTACCCATTAAAACCCCCTACTGTGAGTTTTGTTGCTGTGAGCTTTCATTTAGAAGAACTATTGTGTAATTAGCAGCATCTTGGTATAATTCAGTTTTGGAGGGTGAGAACATTGAAACCATAGGCGCTCACTCTATTCATCCATCATGTACATCTGTTTACAAGAAAGAGCTATACTATGTTGAAGTACAAATATCCTTAGGAAAAAAGTGCGTAACAAGATGATTTTTTGAATTCATATAAGACAAATAATGGTCCTATGTCATTTCTTCCTATCAATTCCAGATGCATGCGGAGATTTACCAGACTTTCCAGTAGTTGCTTTGTTGTTCATGTCCCTAGTGAATCTACAAGAAGATCTATTGTTCTTTTAAAAGAATACTTTGTTGCCTGGCCTCCCTAGCACAGCTGAAATTTCAGGTGCAGTGGTTGGTGTGTTGGCCAGGGGTGGTGGTGGAGAGTTGCCTTAGTTCCCTTGAACTATATTTTCAAATTCTTTAATGGACCTTAGCAAATGCAGAATTAGTTTTTAGTTGTGCCTAAAGCAATTAGTTAGAGAATGTTAAGTAAATAGAATGTTTGAGAAAGAGCAAATTTCAATTTGCCTTTTCTCATTGGGATCCTGGACTTGAGAATTTGGTCCCTTGCCCTACTGCCTCATTTATAGCTTTTGTTCTTGATTTATAGGAATAGAGCATATACTCATTTCTCCATAAATGTGTAGTATTGGAGCCCAATTGGTTTAATAAATCTCTTATAAAGCAATGAAAATGTGTTTTTTTTTTTTTAAATAGAAGTCTTTGGAGACTATTAGCTAATTAAATAAATTATCCACAAAGATTAAACAGTGTAGAAAAATACAAACTAGAATTATAGGATAAATTATTTTATGTTTTAAAAGTCAGGAAACAACAGATGATGGAGAGGATGTGGAGAAATAGGAACGCTTTTACACTGTTGGTGGGAGTGTAAATTAGTTCAGCCATTGTGGAAGACAGTGTGGCAACTCCTTAAAGATTTAGAACCAGAAATATCATTTGATCCAGCAATCCCATTACTGGGTATATACCCAAAGGATTATAAATCATTCTACTATAAAGACACATGCACATGTATTTTTATTGCAGCACTGTTCACAATAGCAAAGACTTGGAACCAACCCAAATGTCCATCAATAATAGACTGGGTAAAGAAAATGTGGCACATATACACCATAGAATACTATGTAGCCATAAAAAAGGATGAATTCATGTCCTTTGCAGGGACATGGATGAAGATGGAAACCATCATTCTCAGCAAACTAACACAGGAACAGAAAACCAAACACTGTAAGTTCTCACTCATAAATGGGAGTTGAACCATGAGAACACATTGACACAGGGAAGGGAACATCTCACTCCAGCACCTGTTGGAGGGTGGGGGGCTGGGAGAGGGATAACATTAGGAGAAATACCTAATGTAGATGATGGGTTGATGGGTGTAGCAAACCACCATGGCACCTGTATACCTATATAACAAACTTGCACATTCTGCACATGTATCTCAGAACTTAAATTATAAGTAAAAACTTATTAGTATTTTATAAAAATTAATTATGCATGTGTTAATACTTCAGTACTGTATCACACTATAATAATTTGTTACATGATAATGATATATTTATATTTAGTTAATAATCTTGTATAATTTATAGTTTTCATAATTTTGTGTACAGGGGAAATGTTACCAGTCAATGAACTCAGGTGATCAGAAAATAAAACTTTGTTATCTACATGAACATTATTCTTATGGAGGCAGAAACATTTATTGAGACAATGTACCCTCCACTCTTGTTCTCAAAGTTGTATTTGCATTCTGAAACATTTAGGCAAGTGTGGACACTCCTCCCCATAAGCCATGGCTCTACATACCCAAACTGTTGTCTGTCTGTGCAAGAATACACCAATTTTTCCATCTGGTGCTCAGTACTTCTAGATACCTCTGAGCCGTCTTCATTTCTGCCTGCAGGCCCCTTCAGGTCCTGGCACAACTGAAATCTGAGCCAGGCTAGTTAAAGTGATGACACCCTTTGCCAGTTCATTATAAGTGACTTCACAATCATAGTGGCATAGCTGCCACTTTCAACATAAAAGGTTACTGAAGAAATTGTGGCTGTGAGCAAGAATAAAAATGAATGATGCTATTAGGTGCCAAAGAACGTGATCCTACCTAGGAACACTCAGAACCATTTGGGGAGAATTTTCTGAAGATTAGATTGGGCAGAAATAGAGCCAGAACGTACTGTTGGTTATGTTGTTATTACCTTATCCTACCCAGAGGTTAGCGTAGTGTGAAAAATACGAGTTGTACTCATCTTTCTAAAAATGTGTAAGATAATAAAAATTATACATACACAATGGATAAGAGATTTTCATCAAACTTTCAGATCTCAACTCAATTTCTTTTTTTTTTTTTTTTTTTTTTACCCAGATTTATGTAATTTTCTATCACTCTTGTGTTTTCAGTTCCCATGGACAGCTCTTCAGAAACTCATGAAGACATAAGGTTCTTCAAAAGAGGAGACTTTCAGAACATGAGCAGGGAAATTATCACTTGATAGATGACAAGCATTGTGGGAAACAATAGTTTGCCCTCCTTCATTCCCTTCCTGGTTATCTTTCCTGTCACATGAAGAAGAAATGAAACACCAGAGAGAATCAAGTTATCATCATCTACACCAGTCACTGTCACTGGTTAAGTATTGGTTTAATAGTCCATTCTTCATATAAGATGGTACCTGACCCACCAGTCACTGTACATGCATTTTGAATTGTTTCACACACGTGGCATTGCAGAAATGTCTTGGTCACTGTGGGGGCTGCTACTCTAAAGCAGGAGTTTTCAGTCTTCATTGTTCTTGTTGCAGAACCCTTTGTTTAGAAGCCCAAGATGTAAAACAGATGAAAACAGAGCTGCTTTGTTAGAAACAGGCACATGAGAGGGATCACAGTGTTTCTCTTTAGCTCCTCTGAGGACTTTGAAGACCCTTGCTCTAATGCAACTCTGACTTGTTGATTGCAGCAAGATTTAGGAACACTATGAGTTTGTCCTGAAAGGAGACTCTCCAAGTGGGGAGACACAGATGATTAAGGGGCTCTGTCTCTGTTTCCTTTAGTTTCATATTCATCTTAGTTCTTGCACATGTCAGATCCACTCTCATCCTCATGACATACTCCTGGTAAATCATAGGCCCTGAGTTTCTCATTACAGAGCTGATTGGTTGTAATTTCCTGCAACTAAAAGCCAAGTGATTACACCCCAAACTTTAAGTTCAAGGAAGGATGGAGATTAGGCTTGTTTTCTTTAGGTGTCATCCCCATTGTATAATGTGCCTGGCGTACACTGGAAATTCAATAAATATATGTGGACAGAATTGAATGAAGGCACACATGGACAACCAAGAGACATGAAGAAATATAAAGAGTGCAATAAATTAAGTGCATAGCTTTCTAGAGCAGCGATGGCATTCTCGCGACTAAACTTATGAACTTGTTTGATTTCATTATTCGTTTTGAGTCAGATGCCCCCCAGAGGTTCTACTAGCTTTCCCTGGGCTCTTACGACTTACCTCCTGGCCTGCTTTTTCTTAGTACCGTCTTAAAATTACCTTCCTGGATATGTTTTATATACTCTTCTTTATAATACTCCTTGGCATGCCCATGATTAAGACAAAGAGAGCATGATACTTTCCCACAGCTAATGGAGTGCTGGCCTTTGATTTCTGGGAATTTTTGTATGATTATTTCTTTATTCTGTCTAAGCATTACCAGAAATAGGTCAGGCGTGGTGGCTCATGCCTGTAATCCCAGCACTTTGGGAGGCTGAGGTGGGCAGACCACCTGAGGTCAAGGGTTCAAGACCAGCCTGGCCAACATGGTGAAACCTCATTTCTACCAAAAGTACAAAAATTAGCTGGATGTGGTGGTGCTACTCGGGAGACTGAGGCAGGAGAATCGCTTGAACCTGGGAGGCGGAAGCTGCAGTGAGCCAAGATTGTGCCACTGCACTCCAGCCTGGGTGACAGAGTGAGACTTGTCTCAAAAAACAGAAAAGAAAAGAATTACCAGAAATAACTTCATCTGTCAGGTTAACCCCTCCTTCTATACCTAGTGAATGAGCTTTACTTGTGTAGTACTTAATGTGTAGTCATATGTAAATAGAATTCTAATAAGAGTGATATATAGAGAGGCATAGGAGAAAAGTGGTCCCCTGAAATCTATAGAAAGCACTCAGAGTGAGAGGAGGGTGGTTGGAAGGTAGAGTAAATTGAACAACGACCCCTAAAGGATGCCAAGTCCTAATTCCTGGGACCCATAAATGTTACCTTAAAAGGAAAAAAGTATTTGTAGACGTGATTGAGTTACATATTTTGACACAGAGAGAATATCCTTGATAATCACGGTAGACCCTAAGTGCAATCACATATATCCTAAAAGAGAGTGGTCGAGGGAGATTTGACACAGACAGTAGAGAAGAGGATACACACACAGAAAAGACAATGTGAAGAGAGAGTCAGAGATTGGAGCAAAGAAGACACAAGCTGAGAAATGTCAGCAGCCACCATAAATTGGAAGAAGCAAGGATGCAGTCCCCTCCTAGAGCCTTGGGAGTGGGTATAGCATTACTGGAGTCTTGATTTTGTCCCGGTGATACTGATGTTGGGCTTTTGGTACCCAGGACTGTGAGAGAATAAATTTCTGTTGTTTCAAGTGACCAACTTTGCAATACTTTGTTACATGAAACAAATACAGCAGGAAATGCACCCCTTTAAGATCTAGTATTACGTGTCTTCAAGCTGCTCATTGACAAGTGTTGCTAGGTTAGGCACATCTACTGTGTGTGGGGGGGGTGAGTGGGTGTGTACATAGCTACATACATCCATATATATATATGAAGAGTATCCGTATTATCAGCTATTTCCTTATGGTTGAAATATGTAAGAGTTTTCTAAATCTTGGGGGATAAGAGAGAGAAGTTTTTGAAAGGCCAGACCACCACCATGAAAAACAATTTTTTAAAATTTTTGTGATGGAGTCTCCCTCTATCACCCAGGCTGGAGTGCAGTGGCATGATCCAAGCTTACTGCAACCTCCACCTCCTGGGTTCAAGCGATTCTCCTGCCTCAACCTCCCAAGTAGCTGGGACTACAGGCGCCTGCTGTAGTCTGGCTCATTTTTATATTTTTAGTAGAGATGGGGTTTCACCATGTTGACCAGACTGGTTTCAAACTCTTGACCTCAAGTGATCCACCTGCCTTGGTCTCCCAAAGTGCTGGTATAATAGGTGTGAAGCATCATGCTCAGCCCATGAAAAACAATTCTGATCTATAAAATAGAGAGAAATATAAAATGTATAAAATAAAAGGATGAGTGTGAACCTGAGATCACTCTGGGGACAAATACTGTTATCAGACATTAGAATTACTAAGTAGACCTAGGAAGCAGCCTTCTCAGTGGGTTAGGCAGTTAGGTGCTACTGGGATGATAAGGAAAATAGACTAGGGGATTTAGCTGTTAAATAAAATACGATATTTGTAAATTTATGCTAAAGTCTATGTTACCTTGCTGTGCAAAGCCTCTGACTTTTATAAGCAACAAGTTCTGCCTGCCCCCATGCAGACGAATACCTGGAGAATACCTATGTGGATCAAGACCGAGTGCAAGAGGCACTTGTTAATAAAGGGTAGTAAGTAAAAGACCCTGAGGGTTGACACCCCTGGTCCGACAAACCCTCTGTTGGTGAAGCTTGAGGCACCAGCTCTTAAAGGCTTCGGTTGAATTCAGGCCATTCTTTTCCCTCTGAGGGGCGTTTTCATGACTGGGAACCTTCTTTCCAAGAGACCAGGCTGGAATAAAACACCTAGTCTTGGCCTCAAAACAGAATGAAGACATTGGGCTTTCTTTAAATTGTGTTCCAGTCAGGGCTTTCCACAAAAGTTATAGATGTCAAAGTTCCTCTAAAAGTTCTGGGTAGTGAAAAGTACAGAATAGCTATCGACATTTTAAAGCCATCTGTGCATGAGCTTTAATTTCTCATCATGTCATGTAAAAAAAAAAAAAAGATTGTTCACACAAAAGCACTTACAATTTTGAACTGCTCCATGGTTCTGGAATTCTGAAAAAATGTGTGTAAGTTCTTGAGACCAAAACTCATCATTCTGATAGATTTGCCAACTTGCTCTACACTTATATACAATTTCCATAGGGTCCACCTGCTTTTGTGGTAAGGTAGGAACCTCCAACTTGCTGTTCAACTTGCTAATTTTCTCACTCAGTTAATCACAAGCTTTTTATAATTCTATATCCCAGAGACATGATTGTGTTGTCATCATTGTAATGTGATAAAGGGACTTAGTCTTACCATGATCCTATAGAATGTTTGATTTCCCCTAGCTTTTGAAGTTTATAAAATCACAGCTTCCAGCAATGTTTTAATACTTTTCTAAAGAAACAGCAAAGACATAAAACTCATATTTGCTTGATTCTGTTCCGTATTACAGGCCTTGAAAGTTCAGTCTCCCTGGAACTCCAGAACTCCCCACTCTGTAAGATGAATAGCTAATTGGATCCTAGTATATAAGGAAACACTGGCAAAATAGCGGTACATACCGAATATTTCTTTTTATGATTGTAAAAGCAGTCAAACATAGATGTATATCTGAAACAATGGTGGAAAAGCATGCATTAAATTGAAAAGCATAGTCTTCCATTTGTAAGGAATTTTGTTATGTGCTGCTTATGGGAGATTGTTTAGTTAAAGCTATATTACTGCAAAAGGGAGTCAAACAGAGACAGCACAGCACACTAGTAAAACACACTAAAGCTTTTAATTTCCTCATTCATTCATTAAAGAAATATTTTCTTAGAGATTATGTTTGGCAATATGATACATTTTTGTAGAAAAATGCAATAAGACAATAAAAATTGTCTTATAGAAACAACTTCTGCTATTAAGAAACTTATAAAATTTAAGACACAAGGTAAGGTACTAGTTACATACTGTGAAGATAATGATTATTAACATTTATTGGGCTCTGTGCCAGGTACAAGATATTAATATAAATTAATACTTCTATTCCTCTGAATAGTCATCTAAGGAAGGTAGTGGTTTTCTAGGTAAGAATTGTGAAACCCAAAGCTAGTAAATTAAGTCAATTATGAAGCCAGGATTAAAATTTAGGTAATTTGCCTCCATGCCTATCCTATGCTATCTCACTGTGCTATAATTAAATGTATAATTGAAAGAATGCTTCTTGTTATAATATATAGTTAAATACAAATGAAAAGCATTAAGATAATTAACCTTCATTTCAGGAGATATGTTGTAAATGAAATCAGTCATCAAAAGTTTTTTTTGGAAGTGATCAGCATATATAACTTCAATAAGGTTCAGTTTGAATATGAATGAAAATGAAGGATGGTATTTATAGGTTAAAGGCACAGAGGTGACAAACAATGAGGATGTTCAAATAGACATGAACCCATTAGTTAGAGCGGAGGGTATATAGAAGGAAGTAATGGGAAGTGAGGTTTTCTCTCAGTAACATTTTAGTATATTTGTTTTATCACATATCTATCTGTCCCTTTTTCTATAAGCCAATCCATCTTAATTATAATTCATTTCAAAGTAAGTTGCAGACATCAGTATATTTCATCCCTAAATACTTCATCACATATATCAGTGAGTTCAATAGTTGTTTAGTGATACTTTTGGAAGTAAAAGTTATATATAATGAATAAGCACATCTTAAATATACCATTCAATGAGTTTGACAATTTCATATACATTTGTAAAATAAACCTCCATCAAAATAAAGAACATTACCATTCCCAAAATTGATCTTTTGTTCTTATCAGTTATTTTTTTTAATTGCCACCTCAGAGGCAACCAGTGCTGTAATACTTTTCAACCATAGATTAGTTTTCCTTTTTTAAGACATCATATAAAAAGAATTTCTTTCGTGTATTTTTTTCATTTAGTATTTTGTTTTTGAGATTTATTCATTTTGTTGTATCAGTAGTTTGTTTCTTTTTATGGGTAAGTTTCCATTACATGAATATAGTACTGTTTATGTATTTGTCTATTAATAAACACCTACATTGTTTTGAGTTTGAGGCTATCATGAATAACAGGTGCTACAAATATTCCTGTATACATTTTCTTTTCCTCAGAAAAATACCTAGTGGTGAAATTGTTGGGTCCTAAAGTAAATATGTGTTTAGTTTTATGAGAAACTTCCATATCTTTTTTCAGTTTCTATTAAAAATACACAAGACCTATGGTTACTCCATATTCTTGCCAACATTGGGTGTGTAGGATAGAAGTTAAGTGGTAAAGAGTAAATACTGACTAGATTGTGGAAAAACAGAATTTATTGCTGAAGCCTCTATCTTAAGTAGCAGATAGTCACTGGACTGTGGACTGGAAGATTGCCTGGGGAATGTGATGTTTGATAAG